GAACTCGATGGTTGCGTACTTCCCTAATGACATAGAATCTCTGATGAAATTAACAGCCGTAAATCTACCAACATCTAGCGTCTCTTATATGATCCAGTTGCCAGATATAACCGCAAAGAAAGAAACTCCCTTAGCGTATCAAAAATAACCACCCATTTTCATGTGGCTGTGCGTCTTTCAATTATTTGGGACGAGTAATCATTCCCGTCATCATAACAATTGCATACCCAGTACGTGTTTGCAAGCACATGAAAGGGGGGTGGAAGTAGGGTGTACGATTATGCACACTCCTTGAAACACTCCGTTCGTAACACCATGGCTTGCGGTGTACGTATGTACGCATGAACGCGGTGGCGTTTCTGCACTAATTTCTTTCTGTAGATACAAGTTACTTTTATCTTCACTCGGCCTTTATTATATTTCTCGAGGTCACATCCTTCCTATCATTGTTGAAGTCGTCATCCTTTCGTTCCATCTACTGAAGAGGCGACGTCGGACAGCGTCTCGTAGAGAAGGATGCTTATTGCTGACCAGCTGTGAAAAGCGGCCACATTGCTCCCTGCACGGAGGTACGACAAGATATTCATCTTGTCGGACGGACAGCCAATACACTAACAATCCATCCTTCACAGGTACGTAGGAGTAGAACAGGATTAACAGTATAGTACTAGAATCCTCTCCTTCTGTCGTCCGGATTAGATCTCCTGACAGATGCCGCTGTAGTATTGATGAAAGAGTCGGATTTCAGAACAGTCATAGCGGAGACTATAACAAACACAAAATAGGATCAATTTCACTTTTCCAAGGCAGACACAGGCACGGTCATGACGAGCGGAGGAAAAGCAGGGAAAATGACGAAAGAAGAAAAGGGAACAGCCGCAACAAAATGGAACGAGTTAAAGTGCTGCAAAAACAAAGCATTACGAGGGAAAACGAGAGGCAATGAAAAACAATGACAGACTTTCGATGCTCTCGTCCTAGGAACAGCCGAATTTGCCAGGTTGGTCTTGCATGGAAGCTTCGAGTTTGAGGAGGAGGTTCTATCGTTTTTGAAACACTGCAGGTCATACTAGGCCCCGGAGACGAACCGCTGTCTGGATTCTCAGTATGGACCTGCTGCTGTTGCTGGTACGTGCGCCAGAGTCGGGCTGGCATTGCTCTAAGAGGCTTACGTCACTGTTCGTCGTGCCGTCAGGACTTCGATTAATGGGTGTGTCCGTCAACCACCTGAAGTTAGGGGTCGTTGCTTCCCGCCAGGTCCCAGTGCGATCGTCCTACTGCTGCGGCTTCTGCAGAAGTGTTAAATCAACAACGATCGCCATTTAGCAGAATCGAAAATGCGCTATTTTTGAGTTGAACCGGTTTGAGTCGGCGGATTGTAGGTCAGATAGACAGACGCATAACAGAAGTCTTAACATATACAAAAATCGTCTACGAACTATGCATTATATCTGCGATGTCTTCTCTTTAGCTGGTAATTGATTATGGTACTTCTTCAGATGCAAAATACGCTCGCAAGGTTGTATTCGCTATTTCTAGATATTCTCCGAACGTAAATTAATCTTGAGATAAATCGGTAAGGATCAATTGTCACTATTTGCCATATTCTGCTGACCCCCCTCACACACTGCCCCGGGGGTCTGACCAACTTCTCTATACAGCGACAGCGAGCAAACAGCGAATAGAGCAAGTCGAACTATCTTTCAACGAATGTGTGAAGCGATGCGCCAGCGTACCTGTCGTCTGTATGCGTGTTCCATTTTCTAGCATTCCCGATAGCGAAATGAATAGCGGCCTAATTGAGTATGTGTGCGTCTGCGATAATGCTGCTGTTTCACTTCCGTTCCAGCACGTTTAGCTCGGTACCTAGTCAGACTTTTCGCAGGACAAGCTACTGTACCTCTACGAAACTCCCCCGTTTAGACAACTGCTGCAGCAGGATGCTATCTGAATTTACCGTAAAAGCAGCGATTCTGTAGCAGCGGTCGATCTGCCTGAATGCAGCACCGTGATGCAGAACCGGTCTTCCGTCGAGGTGGTCCAGCCCGATTAGCTTCATACCACTTTTACTTTCTCTCCTGCTTCTGCTGTAAACGCAATAGCCGTTAAAGGAGAATGAGGTTCGCTGCTGTTATAAGCGCTACTAGTGCGTTTGTCGCGTTTTCTTGTATTAGAGTACCAAGCGCTATAACGCATTGACTATGCAATAAAAGTGGGAAAGAGGGCGTCCTGTGGGTCGATATGCGCTATTTGTTCCAGGAACTGCCAGAATTCGTGTTCTGATGAGACCCAACCCGTTCAGAAACAAATAGCCATATAATAGGCCATCTGACACTGGAAAACTTCTACCCGGCCCTGTTAGCCTTGCGTGCATTTTCCCGCTTGTGTTCTACTTGTTCTGCCTTCTCGACAGGCTCATATCTCTTTATTGCTTTCTCTTAGCGAACTTGCCAGATTATTGGTGTTAATAGCAGTAGTCGCTATTTTTAGCGTGTGTGAAATTTCGAAAGTGCTGTTACTCTTCCAGCAAGGCTGCCATAGCGCTAAACGGTCGTCATCTGTGTTGGCGTCTGTTCCACACCTAAATGCCAATTTTGACAAGGTTGAGTATGTGGGAGCTCTGCCCATTTCGATCGCCCACTTTTATTTATATTCTTTGGAGACATATCGCTTCTAGTGCGCACTAACAAGTGCCAGAGAACCAACTACTGGCAACAAGTGATGAGGCGTATGCGTCTTCAACACTAAGTGCTGAATTGGAAATCATGGTTCTGAACGTCCGTTTACTTATGTAATGTCATTTTTCGATATCTTAGCTTGATGCTTTGGTTTTTAGAGGTGCCGTTCGATGGTGGCTGACCCTCCGTGATACCGTGAGACAGATGAAACAATACAGCCTATAGCAAATGCTGACAGGTTATTTAATGATGTGAACATAAAAATAATTCGTTTGGTTCGAGGTCTTATTTCTACGGAAAAATCACTTACAGTCAATTTCGAAATGGAATTTTGCTATACTGACAAAGCAGTGCTTTATAGGCTTGTGGAGACTTCAAATGGGCTGTAATCCTAGTTATCAGCATGGAGAAAGAGAAGCAATAAACGCACGTTACAGAGATGTTCCCCTAGCCTATACCATAATGCTCAATCAAATATGCCTTCCTTCCTCAAGGACTCTGCTTTCGATTCATTTGCTTGTTCTAACCATCTATTAACATTGCCACACTTTTATTTTAACAGAAGTTCCGTGCCGCTACAAGACTATCTCATCGTACATGTTTTCTCATTCGTCAGCTCATCAGCCAATTACCACCACCAACCAATTTTACAGAGCAAAGGTTTTTTAGTCGAATAAATTATAATAGTTAAATACTATAAATTTCAGTTACTAATACCGGAATGAGCAAATTAGATTTATAATATTATCAAAGTGATCGTATTTAAGAAAATAGTTGTTTATGTACATCTGTCCCTGTAGAGTACTATGCACTATCTAAAAAATATTCCCAAACAGCTACAGCGTAGGCTATAAGTGATGGCTGCTGTTTCTATCTCTCTGTCATTCCTAGCCAATGCACACCTCTATCTTATCAAAAAAACTCATCCGAGCACTGTGCTTATCTTGTAATTAAACAATACAATCATTCAATAAAAGATCTTGAGAATCAAAAAGCGGAAAATAAGTGGTGCATCGTGCATGCATGGTGGATGCACGCAGCACACACACGTTCTAACAACTCTATAAAATTAGACCGAATGATCATTTCAACTAGCATATTGAACTTGTCGCTTCTTTTATTACATCGCTCAAAAATCTCTTCAGTAGGTGTGTATATATATATATATATATATATATATGTATTTTTTTAACATCGTAACGCAGCAAGTATAAATGGTTATTGCATAAGCAATAATGACGATAAACTAAATTGATTTGTATTTGAGGAAAACCTTAGCGTTGAAAAGCGTAGGTTAAAAGCGAAACAGTTGATTAGGATCGAGGAGGCAAGACGAGTTAAAAGAATGGACTCGCCAAATTGAGGTTCTGCCTTCACATTTAGGCAAACGTAGCGTCCGGTTGGATATTTTCCCCTGTATATATTGAAATCATCGGTTGGAATGCCAGTGAGCTTGTTGCACTGCCTAATACCGTGTTGATACAAACAGTCCAGCTGCATCGTTTTCTATGATTTGTCGTGCTATGTCGGAAGAAGGAAAGCAAACAAAGGCGCCGGCAAAGCGTTTCGACTAGATAAAGAGAATTAATTAGGCGCCTTGTATAATTCATACAATAAGGCACAGCATTCTACCAACAAGATATATGAATCTAGGCTTCCAATTGGGTAACTGAATGTACCTACAAGTTGAAACAAGGTGAGCAACTGGACGAAAAAACAATGCCGCTACGTATCTGACGCGAAACAACAACATATTCCTCGACAAAAATATCAGCAACGCAGGTACATTGTACATTTTTATTTGTATCGACTATTTGTATATCTTTTTATTATATCGAACGTTTGCTAAGTGTCCTTGCTTCAGGATAATCATGAGCCGGCTAACAATCATTGATGTGAACAAGCTTGCTCAGCAAATGTGAAAGATTGCCAATTACGATCGCTTTCGGAGCTGATAGTCTATTTCTGTCGCTTATTTGGCTTCATATGGACGAGACAGAGGAAATGGACTGTGGACGGGTCATCCGCAGTGCCGATATGTCACCTCAGCTCTCTGAAGCCTGATCAGCCTATGAAAAAAACGTCAGGTTTTTGCTCGCGCTCTTCAGCTTGTTTCACTTTCTTGCCCCCTGTTGTTAGCTGTCAAGCCTAACTCGTTCAGATCAATCAACTAGCGGTACGGGTAACACTGAATGATACTGTTGTGTAGGCACGCTGTTTGCTGAAATAAGCTTTGAATGTATCTTTAGATAGAGCTCTAATTAGGTAGTTTATTTTTTGCCTAACTGTCCTAATCATCTCATTGTTCGATCTAACAAACAGCAAATACGTCAGTCTTTCTCGTGCGGTTTTCACCCTCTGTCACCTGCATGGATACTGGCATCTGGAGGAAAAGAGATACAATGATCGAAGGCTTTACGGTTCGTTTGCAACTATTATTAGTACTATTGTTTATTATCTCGTGCTCACGTAAAAACTGACAGCTATTATATTGCACAGATGTAACTTTTAGGAAGTAATTATTAACTGTCTACAAAGAGGGCTAAATAACCCAATGACCGACACAACCCCACCATCAAAAGGGTTTTATAGTCGAGTTTTTTAAAACGGAAAATGCTAACTAACAAGCATGGTCATTGAACACAGCAGTAATTTCATGTTTTGGACATTTTAGGATGTAGGATATCTGTCAATGTTACAAGATGGCAATTTGAGACAGATATCATCGAGATTGGACAATTCATTTGCGTCGTTCAAGGGCTACGGTTCTTCCCTGCGGCTTGCCGTCTCTTCTACCATCGATTGGGTGGCAGCTGCTGCTGTCTGTCAGTCGTCAGTCAGCCATTCACTCAGTCAACGAGAAGGGGTTTTGAGGACGATGAAGTCTTTTCAGAGGAACAATGAAATACCAAAATACTACGATACCGAAGAAGCAGCATGTTTGCCGCTTCTATTTTTAACCTGATACACCCCGCGCCTCTTGGCCACCCCCGCCCTATTCCCTTTTGCTTCTTTCCATTTCCTACTAGATAGAATCAAAGTCTCGGCCAAGGTTGTAATATACTCCCGACCCAGAACTCAGATGCGTGTGTAAAATCGTTGCAATAGCATGAACAATATAAGACTTGCTAGCAAACAATTTGATGACTAAAGAAGTTCTCTATCAATTTCAATCAAATGAATTTTGTTTTCAATAGTGTGTATGAACATGTTGAAACGATGCTGTCCTCTTTCACATATGTGTGCCTCATTTCAATGTTTCACATGTACTAGATTAAATTTTCACATCTATCTATATGAAATTAAATTATTAAAACACTATCGCTAAGTAGAGAATTTCGCGTTCTAATAATTTAATTTCGTATAGATTTCAACGTGTACTACAGGGCAGACAGATGACGTCTTTGGGGCATTTCACTACATCACCAGGTATAACTGAATAAATAAAGATTGAGTCTTTGATACATAGTATTAAGTAGCTTTGCTTTGTCGAATTAGAGTAGGCTGAAATGAGTAGCGATCTTTCCATTGATCGAACGTCGCAAACATTTTGCCATATTAAATGCGCAAAAAACGGAGATGTAAACAATCTTTGTACTCTCAATAGATATGAACTGAACCAGGCTATCGGATAGTCACTCTGAAGTCAGGCAGCAGCCGACAACCTCTTCCATCATACCCAAAACATATCCTATGAATGTACCTCAATTCCTATAAGTAACACATTCTATATAGTTGCCTATTACTTACCGAACCTTTAAGCTGGAGCCTTGTGGTGATCCAGCCTTGCTCTAAGGCCAGAACAGTCTTAAGGAATCTATTCTGTCTCGGATCAGTAACTATGCACCGCAGGCTGTGTACACGCCGCGTTTACTAGAAAACAACGATTCTATCCCAAATCATCGATCTTTGTACTTTAGGCGAGAGCGTATTGTCACAGTTTTCGGTGGCAGCCACCTGAAGGACCGATAATAGCAAAAAAACAGCGATATTTAAAGGTTAACACATTATTTAACTTGAAATGAGCAGGCATACAGAAATGCATATGTGTCAAATATCGATAAAACCGGTATTAGTTGATACCACATATGATTACGTAATCAAATATAGATGCATATGCATGTACAGTTCTGCAATACATGTTATCATATACCGACCCGAAGCCGATTTGAAAAAACGTATATGCTTTTTGCCAAAAAATATCCGCTTTATTTCTAGGAATAGAAGAAACATCAACAACGTCATCAATGATTCGCAGGAAGCCCAGAAAGTAAACTATTACTTCATATGTTCAGGCAATACGTTTGCGGCTCATTCGTGTTACGCAGAGTTCTTCCACACGAAGCTTTTTTGCGCGGCCATGAGTAAGCTCATCAGAATCGCTGTTTTTTTTTTTTGTTTCTGAAGAATCCTTATGTCCAAGGTGCGGTAAATCTTCGCCGAATAATGTTACCTCGAGCTTTTCCTGTTCATATTCTCTGCTGGATTCAGATTTAGTGCATTCCAACGACGCCGCAGCTGCTGACGCTGAAGTTACTCGTCTGGAAGGCTACGACGCGTTATAGCCCCTCGCTGACCAGAAGCGGTGGCGATAGATGCAGTTGTGGGCTCAGGGCAGTTTCGCTGGCTTTCTTTAGTCACGGCAGCGCCACCGACGGCAGTTTGCTCTTGTCGACACTTAACTTACTTTTAAAACACTTCCATCCTTAGCCATCGTTCTTCTTTTTATTTTGCCTTCTTTTAAGCACCCAATGGGCAGTAATGATACCTCTGTGTCGCTCAGTGTCGTACAAAAGAATTAAGTATACCATTACAGCTTGAGGGCAAAAAGAGAAACAGAGTGTTTGCGTTGGAGATGGGGCAGAAAAAAAGAGGTGGCAAATACCAGCTTCCTTTTGGGGAAGCGAAAACGGTCAAGCGCAGAAGAGATGACGAAAAATGAGGCCAGCATGGAGATCGAGAAACGAGCTGGCAAGTGAAAGATGGCACTCACCAAAAGTTATCAACTATTTATCACATCTTCCAGTGTCTCGCAGCTAAGTGATGTTGAGCAGCTTCATACTAAAGCGATACGTGTAGTCGAGTTCAATTATTTTAATATGGACATTTTTTCCATTCTTATGCCTTGTATGTGCTTTCGAAAAGTGTCCCGCGTTAGCACTGAAAAACCGTCTCCCATCATAGTGCTAACGAATTTACCAAGTTTGTTAATAAAACCAATTCGATTTGTTAAAGGGACCTGTTAAGGCCGCAAAGATCTGTTCTGGGCACGGTGTGTTGTGTTCGGCTAAATCGTGCTTTTTTTTTTCACTCAGTTCGTATGTAAGCACCTAATGCTGCTGCTGCTGCAACAAAAACGATCTTACCAATGAAGCATGTGGCCTGACGTACAATCGTCACGCCTTAATAGCTAACCACTTAGCTGTGTAAAGATGTAGTATCCCTTTAAGGTAAGTCCTGTTAACCGTAATGCTAACAGGTATGCGCGTAACTCATTTTTCAAGAATTGCTTATATAGGAGTGACGTCTTAGTCCTAAACGAGCATTTCTGCTGCCATAAGATGCAAGTATTATCTCTTACGCGCGATTTTTGGGCAAGATTTTCTCTGGACAAAAATATGTCGTGTGCTGTATCGTAGGATATATGCAAAAAATGCATTATCCATACCGTGAGATTACCATAGTTTTTTTTTTTTTGTAAATATAACCCAGCTAGTTGATTTTTTATGGAAACGGTTAACTCTGAAACATATATATGTTTGTACGTGGTATATTTCCAAATTTTAAGTCATACGAATGGCGTGAAACCGATTTACACCGTGACATAGGCACTGAGATGTTGCCTTTGGCATATGTAAGAATGATACAATGAATCTAAGATAGCTGTTTAGTCTTGCGACAGATATACCCTGTTGAAATAGAACATTTTTTTGGACCAACTTCTACCTACTTTCCAGTGGCAATCAGTTTACCCGATAAAAATGGAATAGAAATCTTTTGCGACCGCTCAGACCATCAGAATGCCTACGTACCTCTTGGCTCGTTGATCATTCTTCTAACTGATACATATGACACTAGATGTCACTATGTCTCTAAGGCCGGTATTCCCCGTAACTCTTTATTTGTTTCGTCGCTTTGAAACTGTTGAAGATTAAAAAACAAACGACAAACGTTAGCATTTGCAGCTGCTCTAATAAATTCGAATTTGTCCTCATACCTTCGAGACGTAATACCACGGTGAACGGCTTTTTTGTCAAGGTGCCTATCGAACCTCGTGGCATAGCCACTTAAGTTGCAGTGTAAAGCGGAGAACGTTCGATCAGCAACCTCCATTAAATAGAAAGAATAAGCCAAGGTGAAAATATTCGTCGCCGTCTTCGTTGGATTGGAACAAGGCAAAAGCAGAGCTCGACCGGACCTCATCTTGTATAAACCGTCCGACTCCTTCTCTCCAACTCTGACTGCGAACGAGAACTTGATGCAGCGGCAGATAATGGATCTAAGTTAAAATCGTTTTATTCTTCCTAATAGCTGGCTAGGCGGCTTCGGCTTTGTCCGAACCCAAAAACGCAAGAGCGACGTAGAAAGCCCGAAGCAGAGATCCTGGTCTGCGTAGCTCGCTGCCGGTGGCTGCTTTCGGCACGCCTGCCTGAAGTCGCTTTGAATCAACGTCACTTTTAATGGGATTATAACCTCGGTTCTCGTCCGCCTCTGTAGCCCACGTCTTTCCTGTAATTCTATCCTATCCCCTCCAAACTACGATGTACGTACTCTAAATAGTAGATTTATCCTAGTAAGGATGCGTCAAAGTAGGTGACCATACACAAACAATAAATTCATAAACGCGAAACAATTACGATGATGAACAATTATGTACAACTTAAATAACATATGTATATGATAGGGTGGGACTACATAGGGGCCAAAATTCCGCGGCACCTAAGGGCAACCGTTGGCGCGAGGGGGAAAACTAGCGCATTAATGCGTTTGCCCAAGGTCACTGATTGTTTCGCGCAAATAGATTGTTCGTTTAACAAGACGAAAGGGAACTAAAACACTTTTTCTGTCCTTCGAGAAAGAGCTTGATGAACGTTCATTGCCAAATTAGAGCAAGGATAACCAGTCGTACATATAAAGTTTTGCCACGACGGGTTTTGAATAATCCAAATAGTAACGCGCCCAGGACCTGCATTTTGTTTCAAAAATGATGGCCTGTTTGTTTCGTTCCGCAACGCCAACACATAGCAGTTAAGCCTATGTAACCAGCACAGTTACCCGCGATGCTAATATAAACACCTATATAAACGACTAAAAAAAACGCAATTTTTGCCGATTTGTGTCTCCAACAGACGGTAGAGTGCTGATAAACAAGTTGCTTCTTTTTTCTCCATAGCTTGATAATTGTTTGATAAAATGCAAAAAAAACATTTAGCTGTCCCAAACGTTCCCGCGTTTTTTCCCGTAATTCAGCGACCTGAACCGCATTAAATTTCTGACTCGTATACATCTCTAAAATACTGCGAGTTTGACGATAATATTTGTCTTTGAAGTCCTTTTTTTAAAAACATTTTTAGTTCAAATAGCCCTGGTCCTGTATAGCTATAGCTACATGCATTGCAAGCTCTTACTAGTATTGATTTTCCCTCAGATATCTATATCTGAAGTGTATGTACATTTTGTCAGCGAGAAAGCATAAACTCTCTTAGCACACACCAGTTCTCGAACGGAGTTTGTAGCGTTATTATGGCTGACGAAACTTGCTAGCGCGGCAAAATGATCTTATGAACTTAATGCATTTTATGATAAGCAGCCCGAGGTCACATACGACAGTTTGTTTAACATTTTTTTCTGAATAGTTTAGCCAGTCGGGTGTCGAAATACAGATGAGGTAACCATTTTTGTACTCATAGAGAAACCCTATTAGAACATATAAGAACGCTAGGTCATGAATTTTCGTTACATGAGATACAGTGAATATTACAATTTGCGTTGTCCTCTCGGACTGCGATCGGAGCCTCGCGCAGGTTCTCCGCCTTCACGTGTGCCCTTGTCTATTCGACTTAATGTACTGACTCACAACTCTTTATAAACCAAGCAGATGTCTTTCTCATTCTTTGCAACTACCAGCCTAAAGCTAAACTTACATTCTGTTTACACGCTACACTTTACAATATTACTCTCAGATAACGGTTAACGACTTTTAATTAATCTAGCTCTTTTTGTCTCGTGCTCCGTCTTTTAGCCCTTGGCCTTTCGTACCGTTGTGGACCATTTTCATTCGTTCTTCACTCCACTGTCCTTGCTAGTTATATTCAACGGCCTTTTTTCCATGATATGATACTGCTAGCAGCGGGCTGTAGTAGCAAGGCTTTACTACAAGAATCGGGAATTATCGATGCAAAAGATTAACTC